TGGAGAAGACCCTGGTCCTCCGTCTGCTCATCTACGGCATCATCACGCAGGTGTCGGACAAGGAGCACGCCTGCGGCACCGGCACCGCCTCCTCCAGCACCAGCTTCCGCCGACCGGACGGCATCACCATCGTCTGTGTGCCGCTGCCGGCGGCCAACATGGCCGGTGGCACTGACTCTTCATCATCCTCATCATCTTCCTCATCCTCATCCTCCTTCTCAGCAGGAAGTGAATCACTGAGTAAGCACGGAATCACCCTGAGGATAGCGCCAAATACTGCCGGCTTTGAGACGTCGATAGAGAAGAAGTCGGAGAAGGGGCTGGCGACAAAGAGCTCCTCCAAGATGAACAAGGGTGATCATCACGAGAAAGAGAAGGAAAAGGAGGAAGAGGAGGAGGAGGAGGCCTACAGCACCACCACCACAGTGCCCTACAGTGAGGACANCTCTTCATCATCATCCTCATCATCATCCTTCTCCGCAGGAAGTGAATCCCTCAGTAAGCACGGAATCACCCTGAGGATAGCGCCAAACACTGCCGGCTTTGAGACGTCGATAGAGAAGAAGTCGGAGAAGGGGCTGGCGACAAAGAGCTCCTCAAAGATGAACAAGGGTGATCATCACGAGAAAGAGAAGGAAAAGGAGGAAGAGGAGGAGGAGGAGGCCTACAGCACCACCACCACAGTGCCCTACAGTGAGGACAGTGACTCGAGGGCAAAGAGAAGGACGCCCAAAACGACAACCACCACCACCACCACCACCACTGCCAAACCATCAAAGTCCACTCATAAACACAAAGAGGAGGAAGAGGAAGAGGACGAGGTGGACGACGAAGCGGACGTTCGCGACAAGCGCAAAGCTTCCGCCCACAGCAAAGATGAAGAGGAGGAGAAGGAGGAGAAAAAGAGTTCAAAGCCAAAACACGTGCCTAAAACGACGACCACAACCACCAAATCGCCGCCAAATCGCTCAAAGAGAAAAGAACGCGTAGACCGAAGTGCCGTCGAGTACGAGGGCAAAAAGGAAAAGGAAAAAGAACCTGAGAAAGA